CATTTGCTGATGCTGCATTCCGGCTTTCAATTCTGCATTCTCTCTTTTGAGAGCTTCGATCAAGTTCATCAACTCCTCAAGCTTCGTTTGCTGGACAGCCTCCATTGGATTGGAGCTTTCACCTATCATTATTCCTGAACGGAGTAGAGGCATTAATCTCAAGTTCTTGAGTAGATCTGAGCTTCGTGAGCGCGAATTTTTCAGATCTGGACTCGAATTCTCCGAGTTATGCTTACGGTTGACGAGATCTGAATTCTCCGAATTCTAAATCCGTCAGATCCGGCCGCAATCGAACAACTCGTTGTTGCATAGATCTGAAGCCACTTCCGTCAAAGCAACAGAACTAAAATTCCTCCAGAATAGGTCACAATTTCTCAGATATGGATCCAACTCCCAAAGATCGAGTTTCGTCTTCACGAATTGGTCTGAATCCACGCGATATTGATCAATGATCAATCAATCTTCAACGATTCCCACAGACGGCGCCAATTGAAGATGCAAGGAATTCATTTCCATTTTCTCTCTCTAGAATTCTTACACTTCAACAGAATGAATCTCTCTCCCCCTTACTTCTCATATTTATAGGTATTTACAAACATTAATGGGTTGCTAGATCTAGGTCCGTTCCTCTGTGGGCTTTGGTCATCTTCGATGGGTTATTCGCGTTCGGCCCATATGGCAGTATTTCTTTATGGGCTGGACCCAGCTGCTCCGATCGGATGCCATGTTTGCGGGTCATATCTGGCCCATATCACTTCTGGCCTCCTCAGTATGTTTATGTATATATGTATGTTTATGTATATGTATCACCACTACCACCACTTCTACTACCATCATCACCACCCATTCTGACCCATGACAAAGCCAATCACACCCATCACTGAAGGAACAGTGATGCATGGCATTATATGTTTGAATTTTGATAATTAAATTTCATTCATACACACACACAAATTTGAATTTTTAAACCTTAAGCCCTAACAAAACAAAACCAATCTCACACCTCTAATCAACAACAATCTCATGAAATTTTACAGATTAGTCAGCTATATTTCCATTGCATTTGTCTGTTTTGTCTCTGTTTCCATCGCCGAGGACGATGTGAAGTGCTTACAAGGTGTGAAGAACTCTCTCACTGACCCTCATGGCAAGCTCAATTCATGGACTTTCACCAACAGTTCAATCCGTTTTTTGTGTGAATTCGTCGGAGTTTCATGCTGGAACGATTTTGAAAACCGTCTCTTTAGCCTCGGGCTTCGCGGCATGCATCTCACCGGTGAAATTCCGGAGTCTCTACACTACTGTCATAACTTGCAATCTCTCGATCTCTCCGATAACGATCTCACCGCTGGTTCAAATTATCAAATTTGGAAAGAAGTTTCTGTTGCAAACAATGATCTTTCCAGCACAATTCCGATGAATTTTGAAGATTTTGATGCGAGGGATTTTGCTAAGAATAGTGGACTTTGTGGGAATCTAATTGGGGAGAATGGTGGTTTGAGTAATAAGAATCTTGGAATTAGAATTGCAATGGGTGTTTTTGGTGCCAGGGTGTGGATGTTGTTAGGGTTTGGGTTGGGGCGGTGGTGCTTTAAGAAGTTGAATTGGAGGAGCCAAGAGTGGTTACTATTGGATTGAAAGAGGGGATGATGATATAGTTGGATTGAGAAATTGAGGGCGCACAAGCTTGTTTAGGTTTTGTTGTTCCAGAAACCGCTTGTGAAACTTAAGCTGGCGGATTTAATGGCTGCCACCAACAATTTCAGATTGCCCTCTTTGTCTTCGTCGTCTAAAGGGTTTTCATGATAGTCTCCTCCTCCTCCTCCGCCGCCGCCACTGCTTAAATTCATCAATGCTCGTGTCTTCGAAGCCTTCCCGAACTCCTTCATCGGAAGCTTCCATTGCTTGCTTCTTCGATTGACGTGCGAATCGTACTGTTGATCACCGATGTCTCCCAATCGGAGACGCTCGGCCTTCACTGCCGTTTCGTACCAACGTTCTCTTATGAAGTCACCATCAAATTAGTTTCGTTGTTAATCTGACCCTCCGGTGGCTATAGAAGATCCGCCATCCGATTCTTACATTGTCCGGGGAATGATATTGATATATATATATATATATATATATATATATATATATATATGTTTAAGTGAAAAAAGAAAATCTAACGATGTGGTCAAGGAATGGCTTTTTTGGTACTCTTCTTAACGTTATTTAATGGGGGTATAATTGGTATTTTATATTAGGCTTTTTTTTATATATATAATGTAATAAGTAAGGTTATTTCAGTCATTTTAAATCAACATACGTCGGAAAAGTTGATCCGGTGAGTCTCAGGGGGGTATTTGCAAAAAACTGAATAGTTCAGGGGTTTTTTTGCACTTTTACCAAAAGTTTATAGAATTTTTTTTCAAAAATCTCATATTGTGTTGATTCTTATCAATATTAGATAAAGTTAAAGTCTCTCTCCTTTCAAAATTAAACTTGCAGATGAGTCCGTTATAAAAATAGATTCCAACATTTAATCAGTTTTCTTAATAGATTCAAACATTTAATCAGTTTTCTTAATAGATTCCAACATTTAATCAGTTTTCTTTAACCTTCAACCGTCCCGTTAAAATGTCACCTGGCCCTTTGCAATCAGCTAATAATTGGAAACAGCTTATGAATGATGTGATGTGCTCCCATGTTAGGGACCAATTCATACCTAAACTTTAAAGAGGGAATTATTATTAGATGATGGACCACTTCATCTCATCTATTCCATCACATCTCTTTCAACTTCTCTCTTCATTTTTGTCCACTCTCTCAATAATCTTCCTGAGCCACTTAACACTTGTGTCCAAACAACCATATATATATATATATGCAGGTATGGGCTTCACGGCTTTCCATTGCTTCATCCAATTTCATATCACTGTCCATTGGTTGTGTTATCGAGGTGAGGACTTGACCTGTACTGTTTGTAGCAATAGTTTTTTTTTTTTTTTTATCGCCCAAAGGAAGTTTCCTGAATAATTGTTCAAAATGTATTTGTGGTACTCCACACATCATTTTCATGATTGTCAAGAATTTATGTTTGTTTAATTTGTAAAATTGAAAACAGTTTTATGTTATTAAGAAATTAAAAATTAAAAATTGTAAAAAAAAATTTCATTTGATTCAATTTTTTAAAAACTATTTTTTAAAACTTTAATTATAAAAATGTTTGTTAAATAATTATAAAATATTATTCTCTGGGTACCGTTTTTTATTTTCTGAATTCTTAAAAATTGTTTTCAGAATTACAAATCAAGCAACTCTAATTTTTTTTTTTTAATCTATAAAAGAAGTCTCGTTCATTGAAGATTAAGATTGCAATTAAATTGACCAATTTCGCTTAGTAAGAGTATGATTCGTATTAACATTTAGAAAATTAATCCCGTCTTGGAGCACAAATCGACTTCTTGGTCCTCTTGGATTTGCTGTATTTGAAATTGCTACAAACTCAAGGCGACCACTTGTGAAAATTCTAAATTCAAAGCGTTGGATTTGGTGGTCCTAAAAGCAACAAGAGATTCGCTAATATGTTTAGGGAAAAATTACACCGACTTCCCATTAAGTTTAATCTTTAGGTTCGATAATTTTGTCATTCTCTTGTATAAAATGGAATATTATTTATTATTTATGATATATTACTAAATTTAAGAGAGGCCTACCTGTTGTAATTTGCCCAAATGTGTAAAAACACGCTGGTTCTCACTCCTCTTTAATCTATTGGATTCAAGTGGCTTTTTGTCTTTGGATACAACCTGAGTTGTTCTCCACTGAAGGCCCAAGGTTAGACCTGCTCCAGTTAGACCGAAGGCCATTAAGGTTACATTGATACAGACACTTCCATACCTGCAACAAACCCTAGAATTCTTCTATGGAGAGAGAAAGTACAGATAAATGGACTTAGTGAGGACCCAATGCTCATCTGCATAGGAAGATTTAAATGGTCTGTAATACTCTTTTCAGACATCCCATGGATGTTCAATCAAATGATTTGATTTGTACGAGACTTTCGGAGTCAAAAATTAATCAATAATCATTAGAAAACGAGCTTGAAAAATGACTTCTTCCAATGAGAGACCATACAAGTTCTTCACAGCTACTCTTCAACCTATCCAATTGTCAATGTAATTGAGTTTTATTTTCATAAACAAGCAAATGAAGTTCAAGTAAATACCCCCCAAAACTTAGGTTAAAAAACACTTCAAACCACATCTTTTTGTGTCACCCACACGAACAAAGTAAAAGCTTAAACAAATTTCGACTTTATAGTCTCCATACAACTTCATAATAACCCTAAACAAATTTGTAATTCATGCAGTTCAGCCTGTAATCTAAATAAATATCTGGTAATTTTACCTACCAAAGAAATTACTGCGATCAACTTCCAACAAGTAATCCGGCGTACTCGGGGAAACCTGTATCAATGACTGTAAAACAGAAACAATCACCACCAAATATCAATAAATTGTTCCCAATCACGGTAGATAATGCAATTTAGAATGACCACAAGAAGATGTAGCATCAAAGCTTTAGTGAACAATGCGAATCTTTGTCATCTAATTTTACATTTCCCAATTGACAGTGATATTGCTACACTTTGAACATCCTGACCAAGAGTCGTAGTACAAGGTGACTTTAACAATCAAAACCCTAATCCATTCTGTTAAAAAATATCCCGAAAGAAACAAATTTATAACAAGGTATAGTACCTAAATTCTGAACCTCAGAAGAGTTTCTACTTCAATGGAATTACAATGTGTCAAACCCTACAGGTATTTTTTTTTAAATGAAAAAATAAAAAAGGAAATTCTTAACGAGTCCTGATATTCCCCGTTTCCAGCATCGCTTCCAAATCCTTGATAAAGGCCGTGAGTTAGAAGTGAATTTCTAGTTTACAAACAAGCACTAGACAAGTTTACATTAGAAACCCAGTCTATCTTTCTAAGAGTGGGGTGAGAAGAAGAAAGCCTGGGATTGGGGACGTTTCTCATCATAATTTCTCCCACCATCATTTTCTACCTGGTTCGGAAATGCAAGAGGTGGAAAATCTTCATCTTTCAACTGATAATTCCTTTGGGGCGCCAATCTGGTAAAATAATCAAACCCTCCTGTTAAGACAATAGAGTGGAAGCATCACTAACTGATTCCAGTGAAATAATAACCAACTTTAAACATATAAAACTAACATATATTAAGGTTATATGGGAATAATGATACTATATGGATCACAAGGGAATAAATGGATACAAAAACTGTGTCACCAATAAGAAAGCACAAGCTTGCTAAAAAATTCAACAGAGCCTCCGAGATTTATAAGCTTCTAAAGCTAGCCAAAATTAAATTATAAATATAACGTGAGTTCCATGACCCATGTGGCAATCTTTTCCATTGCATAAAAATAATTCAAAACGTCCAAAAATTTTGTACGCAAAAGTAACAATGTCAAACCTTTCAAAAAAAAAAAAAAAAGACAAAGAAAAACTAATGTCGCCTAGTATTCTTTCATTTTCTTCTCGGCAAAATCTTTCTTACAATCAGATGTCTCATGCCAAAGTGAAAAAGTTCTAAATGCTATTTTCACCAAAGTTGGTCCTGATGTCCCCCCACCCCCCAAATATTTTTAACATGCTTCTAACACCACCTCTCTCCCTCTATAGTTGTGTTGCATGTAAAATGATTTTGTTGCTACTCAATTATTTCCCTTCAAATCCTGGATATATGCACATATGATTAGCAAATTTAACATACACTACCCTGCTTTCAATCTTAGATATCGTCCCTAATATATCTCACTTTTAATCTCCAATACCATCACTATTGCCTCTCCCTCTCTCTCTCCCACTCTCTCTCTCTCTCTATATATATATATATCCATCTTTCTATCTCTCAAGTAAGCATACATCAGATTTATCTTCTCTCAAGATGAGGTGGAAAGGGAAAACACTTATCAAGGTATCAAGTTTTGAGGATATGGTAGATGTGAGAACCTGTCATTGATTCAGGGCGGACAAGGACAACAAGGTGAGCCTCCTTTCTGGTGCGAAGGTCGGGCAGTCTTGATGTCACAATGAAGATTCAATGCTATGAGTGCCATCTTAAAACTACAGATGAGTTACCAAAAAGGTAATCCTGATGCTGCAAGAAATTGGCTTGTTTGTCTCCCCAAGTCACAATCAAGTAGTATTAATGAAACAATGAACTACGGATGACTCTCTCCAATAATTCCACTCATTCAGTGACAAGACAGAGGAGTGTTTAAAAAAAGACTACGTGATGATTGCAACCGTGAACATAGCTGACTATGGCAAAGTTTTGTAGGTATAGTACAATTAACCCCCGCCAACACCCCCCCCCCCCCCCCCCCAAAAAAAATAAAAATAAATGATGATTTACTCAAAAACTTATGGTCAGTGTCTTCTTGACTTGACTTGTGTCTTTTTCCCGTGTCAATACATATAAATGTTGTAAATATGATGTCAGTGTAGTTGAAGAAGCATGTCTTATCGTAATCCCTTGTGACAGAGACGAGAGGATATCTGGTTCTTAATAAGATTGCTCAGTAGGTTTAAAAAATAGATATAGTGTCCTAGTGTTTCGCAGAGAAATCAGCATATTCTAAATAGGGATTTTCCATAATGGTACCAAATATCATAGAAGCATGGATAAGCATCCATTAAAGTAAAAATGCTAGTGCAAGGAAGGTAATAGATGTCCAAGATTCCACCTGTTATAATCCCCAGCTGTCCTAGCAAAATTTCCCACTAAGCGCAGTCTAAATCAAAGTTGGCATCAATAGAACTGTATTATTGCCTATTGATTTTGCCCCTTCAACTATGCTCTCTAGTCAATGATTTGTTACCCTTTGGCTTGAATGCCTTTTTATTAATCGACTTCTCTGTTAGTTCACCACTATAAATTGCCATCCATCCAACTGCTAGATAAATTTTGGCTCAAAGCATGTTTGCCACTTCAACTCTCTTATTGGAGCTGTTATAAAGCACAGCCAAGAAGTCAGCAAATCTTCAACTGTGCTTTTTAGTTAATAATTTGAAGCCTGTTGTCCTTGCGTACCTTATTCTAGTTGCCTCCACTAACCACAAAAAATTCTCACATATCCAATTGCTAAAACAAGTTCGGCTCACAACATGTTGCCACTTCAGCCCCCTTACTGGAACTGCTAATATGGACATTTAAAAGGGCATGTTATGGAACTACTTAAAAGTCCCTCTTCATCACAAAAACCAGCTACTACCAGCTAGGTAGACTGGGAAATATAGTAAGTTCTTTTCGACTTAAGAAACAATATAAATCTCATGATTCCTACTAGCTTTCAAGCAGAGCAATTACCTTTGAAGGTGGGGTGAAGAAGGTTGATCTGGGGAAGAATGTTGTACAGAGCCCCCATGATACCTATGTTCCTCCAATGCTCCCCTTGCTCGACTTCCCTCACTTAAATTTGTTTGTTCATTCGCACCTGAGAAACCCACTGGGCCTAGAGATCCAAACTCAAGTTGTTCAGACTGTGAACTGTAACTGGCATTATAGTCAAATGGGTACACCATGACAAATGGTGGAACACCTGGTCCACTTGATGACATTCCATTGGGGTTCATGGCAGGTAAAGGATACATGCCATATGCCACACTGGGAGGACCATTCTGGCCGGAGTTAGAGCGCAACTGACCGTTCTGAGACTGGTATGAAGGCAATGAGTCATGTCTGTATGAGCTCCATGACCTATCGGCTCGGTTCTCACTGGAGGCCAACCGGTCCAGCCTTGAGTTTGACTTCTCAGTTTGGCTGCGATCGCGGCCACGCCCGGCAGATCGTGATTTTGAAGTCATATTCCAGTTCCCCTCTCTGTCGGAATGGTTATCACTTCTGTCATGATTGTAATTTCCCCTTCTATTCCCTGAAGAATGACGGTCCCTAACAGACACCTTCTGAAGAAAATCAAAATAAAAATGTCAAAATAAACAATTTAACTTTGCTTGTTGCTCATGCAGAGGAACCATACCGAACTAAAGAATTTAGCTTTGACGACTAAGATCAACCACAAACATATAGTAAAAATGATAGAGAAGTTCAATGTAGTACCATATAGGTTAGGTGACAGTTTAAGACATGCAAAAGACAACACGAATCCTGACTTGTGTAATACTAGGTGATAGAAACACTATTCCGTAAGCTTGACCAAGGACCAGGAGAGAGCAGAGGCTTCAATTATTAGACAACCTGTGTACCTAATAATTGTTGAAAACAGTAGAGGGGCAACACTCTCACGTAAAAACTCTTATTTTCCCCCGCTAAGTCACGTAAATTTTTTACATTCGATTCCTTTTTCTTTATCATTTTTCCTTTGTTGTCATTCATGTTAAACATATTATATAGGTTGGAACACGAAAGAGTACTATTCAAAAATCAGAAGTATTTGAAAAGGCAACTCAACCCAAACCATACTACCTCAACAAGGACAACATATGGAAGCCATCAGCTCAGTGACCAAAATGACAACATGAAAAATTTCAGAGCTAAATGATGACATTTCATACCTTTCATGAAGGAAAACAAAAATTATTGCATATTACCTAAGGGCCTATAGCCCAATGGTATAACCTTCCAATGCTGGAAGAGGAGGGGAGGAGTTCGAGCCCCGGCGTGGGCAATGTGCGTGCGAGTACTTACTTAATCCCAAAAAAAAACCATTGTTGCATATTGTTCCTCTACAAAAAATGAAGTCTCAGGGAAGACTGATTTGTTATGTATTGCATCAAGTCACATGCAATGCCTTTTTTACCACAACACTCACATGCCATCACTGGCCATGGCACATCCATAGCAAAAATTGCAGATGAAAACAATGCCAGCTCTACCACTGCCTCTCTTTTAAATATCCAATTAGATGCTACAATAAATAGACTTAGATCAGATGGCAGCATGTTTCTAAGATCAATAGTCATACGACTCATTTTTTTTTTTTTTTTTGATAAAAATAAATCAACACTTCAAACTAGTCATACGACTCATACCAATGGGCTACACTAGGCACAAAGGCAATTATCGGTTGGCAAATAATGCTTGGAAAACATACATTCCATACATAATAATAACTTATTATCCATTAATAAAACACTTCAAACTCTCTAATGTTATAAAACATTGATGGGAAATAGCAGAAATAGAAGTAAATGTGATAAAGACGGGTAAATTGACAAGGAAAACTAGCTTACAGGGTTTGGCAGGTAAGTTCCAGTCCCACTACGGTATCTTGGTGTATCATCAGTATACCGTTGATAAACATTGGGAGGTCTATTCGAAACAGATTGCAGAGGAGCAACTGGAACAAGACGAGAACCACAACTCATAAACTGAGTGAAGAGGTTCATGTTGGCTGAAAGAGGTCTTCCAGGACCGTCCCAAGGGATACGACCCTGTAGATACATAGGTGGTACCATGACAGGTGAGGGATAAACAACAGGCTCATGGTACCGTGGGTTTTGGCAGAACCGCCCAAATTGCAAATTTTGCCAGTGGCTAGGAAAGTCACCGTTAAGAATATCAGACTTATATTCATCGGATGTCTCAAGAGAAGGAGCCCCTCTAAAAGAATTAGAAGTACTTAACTCCTCACATGAATCGAAGTTCTGACCAGAATCACTGTTATCCAAGCCATCATCCCCACCAAAATGGCTTGTTGACGCCTCAGAAGTTCCGGTCTCAGGTGGAACATTATACACTGGAAGCATTGTAAGGAATGGAAATGGTGGCCCTGTAGGATAAAACGCAAAGGGAACAACCCCAGAATTGTCCATCACTCTTTGCCGAGAACCAGGACCTAAGAGCATCGAAGTAATGGGTATCACTGAATCTGATCCGCTTGTCTGAGCTGGTTCATAACCAGGTAACTGATGCCTAGGGACATGCAAAGAAGTAACAGATTGAGGTCCTGAAATTCTTTCTGCCATTTCAGCACCCATGTCTGATGGCTGATTCCAATCCCCATCGTCCTCCTCTGCCCTAGTAAATGCATGTTCAGACATGCCTTTACCTTTCCCATAAACAGTAGATGGCTCTGCAAGAGTTTTCTTTCCCCTTTTTTCCCTAATTGATTTTGAGCCCTTTGCCGACGATCCATCCCAGGAATTTTCAGAAGAGGTTTTACTTCTTAATGAACTACTGTGAACAGCAGGCGAGAACCTTGAACTTTCTGTTCTTTCATCAGAGTAACCATCATTTCCCCTGTTATCTTGATAATGGAAATTATGTAGATGATCTTCCTGCAATGACCCTCGGCTTTCTTTGGTGAACTTCTGTTGAACTCTTAATGAACTGCCAGAGCCACTTACCCGAGATGAAGGAACAGCGTTAAAACCTGATGAAGTTGACAGTGGCTTACCATCGGTCTGAACCATCTCAAAATTTCCATTATCAGAGTCAAATCCTCCTGTGGAGCCCACATCCTGCTCCTGCCAGAAATCATGCCCCGCCTCTCGTAAGTTCATTTCCGTAGAACCAAAATTTTCATTACCTGGATCAACTGACTCTTCTAAATTTGAGGTCAATCCAATGCCTGGGAAGTAATGGTTTAACGGTGGAGAAACCAAATTGTGAGGATATTGCATATTTGTATAAGAAGGATCAATCAAGGGAATATTAGTTGGAACCATTCCAGCTAAATTTCTGTGCGCATATCCCATAGAAGCTAAAACAGATGGTGAGAGTGGAAAAGGTAGGTGACCTGAAGCTAAATTCAGTGGTAAATGAACCTGTCCATTAAAACCATGGATTGCAGAAGATGACATCACGTTCACAAGGTCTTGCTCCTCCTGATGCATCCCTTGCGTCCCAATGACAGAAGAAAGTTCTTCACCCATGGAACCTAAACCAGAGTCATGGTGATAATTATTTGAAGCACTGTTCGAGTCAGCAGCAGTTTCGAGAGTTTGATGAGATGAAAAATGGTGGACAGATGAAAAATCATCAGTTGAAGATCGGCCACCATGGCTTGCTAAATTTTCAGCACCAAGGTTCTTCTGCCTGCTACCATCCAGTCTTGCTGAAATAGCCTGATTCTTCCCACTATCTGGTGCTCTGTTGTGCCTTCCCCGAGAAGAAACATCACTATATGTGTCAGTTAGCTCAGGACTAGAGCGTGTTCTTGCAAAAAGAAACCTTCCCTGAACGTCGTTCACCAAGTGATCAGATTTAATATTTCTTTGACTATTGTCAGTATGTGCAACCTGATTAGAATTAACTCCCCGGACAATCTGATCAGAGATCCTTGAGCTGTTTAGGTTGGCATAATTCTTTTGACTTTGAGCGCGAGAAGCCGCAGAAACATCACTGTTCCTAGACATGCTTTCGGAGGGATAACTACCATGTTGGGAGGAAACACCATGTGAATGAGGTCCCTCAACCTCAGTCTCACGACCAGAGGAACTGCTGCTCAATTTTTTGCCACTTGAATTGTTCTTGAGGATCTCAGACCCTCGTAGATGATCTGGAGTTGACAATCTCAAGCGCCACAAATCGGTACTCGGTGCATCAGGCCTATGGCCACTGCCATGCCTATCCCATGTATTCAAAAAGAATTGATTTATTTCAAAAACTAGGTTTTCTTTGGGGCAATCAAGTAATCTTGCCAGCCTTTTAGCCCCAAAAGTGAACGCACTGCGTATCCTAAAAAAGTTTCCTGATAATAAAATGAATTTAATCAATGCAAAATGATAAGTAAATCACGCAGATATATGACCACCTTGAAAAAGAATTTTAAAAATTTATCATATATAGGCACGTGCCACCCGCCGGGGGTGGGGGGGTTTTGATTACCAGATGTTAATACTAATTAGTGGAAGGTTGTAATACTTGTGGACGAAGTACAAATCTAACTTGTATTATTTGCTAAAGTGACTGTCTGACTCATATACACATTATAACACCTGGTTGTTGAACTTTTATTATGGACCAAGCAATGCCCCCTAACAGGACGTATATGATTACTTACGCAGATAGTTAAAGCTTTAATGATTGAGTACATATGATTGTTTGTTTATTCATTTATCAAGACATGACCACTCTGATCACATAATTCCATACGTAGTGCATATCCGTGAGTATACCTCTTTACGTCTATATAAGAACTCTGGCTTACTGTCATCTGTGCCAAAAAATAGCAGAAGTGTGCATGTAAAATATTCCACTATTAATTGCAGACACGTGTTTGGTTAGGATTCTGCTATTTTGTAATCGTTTTCTTTCTTTCTTTTTATTTTTTATTTGGAAACAACTTCAAGACCATATTATTTAAGATTGTGAAATCTTTCTTACTTATGCAACTGAACCCACAACCTAGATTAGTATTATAATCAACAATTGGATTGCTTCAAAACACGCATGAATGTGCCATACACTATTGTGAGAGAAACTTTTTTCCATTTCTTCAAGAAGTGAGATGTTGAGTGTACCAAAAGCAATGGGAGTGCAAACACTCTGCAATATAGATGCGGACTACGGGCATTCATGGCCCAAGATATACAAATGGCAAAAGGATCCATATACCTCACCAGAGTATGTAAAGTGTGATTTAGGCATTTATATAGTAACTTGCATGTTTACCCCAAGTATGAATTTAGACATGGTTTATCTATGTCATGCTGTTTCATGAAATGAGACATGTTTATTCTCAAATCATAATCTCAATATATATAACACTTTTAAGTGATGCTTGTGATTCTCGATTAGTCCAATACCAAGCTTAGGTGGCCACATTTCCATCAAGAAGAAACATGAAACCGTCAATTTATAATTAGACAGGCTACGTTCATATAACATAGAGAAAACAGGAGATAGGAAATACCATATCAAACAAGTTATTACCTAATCTAGCACATGTGACATGACCGTGTTTGTCTTCAGGAGTTCTGGTTGACTGAATAATATAATTTTTTACAGTTTAAAATCATTGCATTACCCTAACAGTTAATGATTCAATCCGCTTCATCTGATGCACACTTCACAAACTTCATTCATCAACTCTAACATTTGCATAAAAAGCTAAATTGAAATTTTAAAATTCTTAAAAATTTCAACATCACTCCTGGTCACCGAGTGAATGGAAATGGTAGCAAATCACTTCGGAGTTTAAAAATATGGATGACAGGATTTCTCACAAAATTGAATCAGTTCAAAATGTTCAACACAGTCGTTCAACACACAAGTTGATAGTAAAATGAAAGTGTCGTTATCATCACCAAAAAAAAATTAAAAAATTCAGGTCATTTATTCATATCCTGAACTGCCCTTGTCAGGCCGTACTGCTAAGAGAAACAAACTTGGACTTATGTTACGATGAATTCATTTAAATCCAGTTAAAACAAAATTGACCCATTAGATTTTTGTGGATGTCCAAACAGCACATTAACAATAATAAGTTATATTACTGCTTTCCACCAGCTATGTTACCAGGACTTTCATGTTCCCCTCAATGTACCCGTGTTGGTACGATACAACATGAACAAGGGTATGAAATATGTGTTCAACAAACGTACCCAGATCAGACACCTAAATCCTTTAATTATGGCGACAGAAGAAGAAAAATTACTCAAATTTGATAGCTAAGACGGTTCCCTACTTATGAGATAGGCAGAATCTATCTTTTTCTAACCAGGTTCCATTTAGTTTCAATTAATTTAAATTATTATTTACGTAGTAGTATGTTAAAAATAATAGTATGATACATCACATTTTTTAGTAGTGCATTATGTTTTTCAGTATGCAAAATGTGTCCATGTACCCGTATCCAAGTTTTGGACCAATTTCAAGCTGCGTCTCCATATCCTAAAATTTGCAATTAAGGATGTCTGACACTCAAACACATACCCGTACTTGATACAAGTATCTGAGTCCAGGTATAGGCCATGAGTGCAAACTTATTCATAAAGTTATGCGCCCTCAATTGCTTGTAGATAAAATCCTGTTTTGTTTTGATAGGAGCTCTCATTGATAACATGTTGAGCGAGTTACAAGATGCAGCACACTTTCCCTTTGAGGAGTTCTAAAATTTCTTGGTCTAAACTGTTCTGTTTAGTTAGTTTTGCTCTATTTATCTACTTCCACTGTGTGTTTAAAAGAAATTTCTGTAAAAATGTGGAAAATATATATAAAAAAATAACAAAGTTAAATCCAGTAAAAGATTATCCTATTTCAGTAGCAGCATATCTAAACTGTATTTCACCAAGAGCAGTTCAGCATTGGCGATTCAAAGGTTGTTTAACTAGACAGATAAAGCAGACACTTAAACCTAGTCCATATCAAATTCTTTCAATCTCTCTCTCTACAAACAAAAACAAAATTACAATAGAAAATATTTCAGACCAATGACGAACAAATATGTAAAACAAAAAAAAAAAAAAAAATAGTATGTGAATATAGAACAGCTTAAGAACAAGGAAAAAATGACTAAAACAATAAACAAGAATTCAACGTTAAATTAATGATGAGTCCGGCTAGAATTTAGGGTAAAATACCTTTACTGACACTACGTCCAAGATTGTTGTTTACTCGTAAAGGATCAATAACATTAAAATGTTTGGATACAAAAGGTTGTCCCTGATTTTCTTGTCCACCAGGAAAAACAGCATATACAGAGCTACAAGCATCAAGAAACACTTTGCTAAGCAGCAATTCTCCGCTGTCCTTTCGGGGAGGTTCCGCTGTAAAATATTTCAAATAAAAAAATAAGAAAAGCAAATTAAACGACATTGTCAAAACGGTTATTTGGAAGGAAAGACAAATCCTAGAGGTCATTACCTGTTACATCTGGAAGAGAACTAATAGTTACAGGACCCCACAGGCTAACACAAAAATTGTCCCAGTCAAAGTTACTAAAAAATTCCAGAAAACGGTAAAGGACCTGCAAGTAAACGAAAAAACCTTCAGATGAAAAATCAAAGAAACAAAAATGAATAAAGAAAGCAAGATCGCAGCAGCAACCTCAAGTGGTCCAGAGAAGGAATTGTTATAAACATGAAATATGTAAAGAACCAAAGTCTCCAGCGCATAGGTTGAGATAAGTCCATGGTGAGCACCCAGTATCCGGCTCTCATAATAACACCATGCCTTAATCAATATAATGCTACGCTTGAATAAATGATTCTGATTTATCAAGTGATCAACCTACAAATATGAGATTGTTATTGAGTGAAGACATTACACGCCTCATACGAATTCATAATTACAAACAGAAAGACTTATTAGGTGGTGTATGAACACTCTACTAACCTCCTCAAGGAAGCAAAGGGTGCATAACCCACCAAGCTGGTTAAAAGATATGTCTACCACGATGTTTTCGACTAGACACTTTATTATCTTCACCTGCAATAAGATGAAGACACACACACAAAAAGTCAATTTATAACAATAAATTCTAGAATAAAAAATAAATAAAATAAATGTGCATTTATGTGGAACTTGTAAGTTGTAACAAAAGAACATCAAAATAACTAAATACACAATAATAAAGCACCATACTTAAACAATATAATATTTCCTTGATATGTAACAGACCGTAACTTGCAAAATTATTTTTGACTAAGGTCCAAAGTAATTACTCCCTCTGTCCCGTATTAGTAGTCCATCTTTCCTTTTAGAGATGTCCCAAATTAGTCGTTCCATTTGAAAAGTCAAAACAAAATAAAAAATGTCCTTCCATAATTACGCTATTAACTTTTCAAAAATCTCCCCACTTAGTAATATATTATTTAAATTTTAAAAGAAAAACTTGGTAATTTTAAAAGGGGACAATGCAATAATTGCATGTCCCCATAAAAAGTTCTACCCCCAAAATGGACAACTAATATGGGACGGAGGGAGTAATATTTATCATCTTGGCAACCCATTTAAAGCTTCTCCGATCCCCTATGTCAACCATACGACAAACGCCCCACAGGATGGACAGTTATACAAATACCCAAAAAATCCGTCAACCGACCAAAATAAATGAAACAATATAATGACAAAGATACCTAGCCTTCTCAGCAATGAACAAAGAAAACACTACCACAAAAACAATCCTATCATTCATAGCACAATTTCCGCCTCTACAACTAAGGATAACATCTAATTTCTTATCAAAGTGCCAAAATATTGCGATTAAAAGAATCTTCCCACCTAAGATGGTCCTTGGAAGCCAAGTGTTATGGAACTAACGGCATAACACCAAAGAAAATATTAACCAGAAAGTGAAAGAAAAGATCCTCCATTCAGAGTGAATAAATGGATCAATGATAATCGTCCATTTATATGAGCCCCATTCTTTTGTGTCCTAAAACAGAGGAACTTATTTAACAAATTAATGATGGATGACACCATACGCAAATTGATGTGATCAAATAATGGATAAGGAAAGATATTTATTCGCTTACCCCCTCCCTCAAGGAGAGGAGCCACATGTAAATCAACATGATGGTTAACTGAACACATTACAATCTCCAAGCTTTATCAGATGACTCACTGCAACCAATTTATAGTACCTGAGTAACTATCCCCGGGCCATCCAGAGCAGCCCCCAGGTGAGACATTGAATATTCATACCCACCAAGTTAAAGTATGGGATCATAGTTCTCCTGAAACATATTAATATAAATAATGCCACCTTGGAAGGAAACAGAGTTTTCATCACCTCTATGGAGTTTCCATTGCTCAACCAAATGGAAACTTTCAACATCAGTTCCATTAATAAAATACTGCCTTGTCTTACAGCAGAGGAGTGAAAAACACAAATTTGACAACGGATAATGTATCTACCCCCAAGGCCCTTATCCAAACTAGAATTTTGTTGCTAAATATTCCACCGCGAGGCACTACATGTACAGTGTCTATAAAGTTATTTTTTTTCTATTGCTTACGATACATATACGGCATATTGATCTCACAATCAGACTGAACTCCTATAGTTAAATTTTACAGATTGTTTGATTAATCTATATAACTGCGCATAATAAGTATAACATGTGCAAATGAGGTGGAAAATTGTACGGTTATCCAATTGACTTTTCAAAATAAATGTCAAGTAAAACACTATGCTGTTTGAGATGGATTTCGAGTAGAACAAACAATACATAATGTCTGTTAGGAACTGAATGAAAAATCAGTTATAAAAAGACCAACATGAATCTAAGATGCTGAGACACAATCTAAATATAGAGATTGAAACACTAAGCCTGCAGGAAAAGGACATACTTCTGCTTGAATGTACTGAACCTCCTTTACATGAAATTCAGCATTCTCGTTCTTCTCCTCATTCTCCAGCATATCACGAACCTGATTAGCCCATGTTTCCTTCAGACTTTGATTGTTACTAAACGCTGATAAGTCAATGTCTCCATCAGGTAAATAAGTTTTAAGGGGTACAGACCCAAAAGTAAAGACCTGTAGAAAAGGGTAAAACCACCAGAGAGTTAATTAATAATGCAGAAGCAAATAATAACAATATACATGTGAATTTGCATATTAATAGAAAAAGAGAACTCAAAACAGTTCATAGTACTGCAACTGTGAGCAACCACCAACTGCACTTTCTTCTTCTTCTTTTTTTATAAGTTAATATCAAGAAATACTCTAACCAAAATAGCATAATTCCAACCAGTTTTTCGAAGTCATATTGTTAGCCCAGCTAGAAAAGTGACCAGGGTAATGGTCAACACTTCAACTAAATGATACACTGAAATTGAACATCAAAATATATTATTGAATAATTGCAAAATATGATAGAATATAAAGAAGTAATTCAAATTACAAACTTTTGCTTGATCATCTGAAAGTTAACATCTAAACTCGAACAAAACCCATAAAATAATTTACTAAACTTGCAATATCCAATTCGTTTCTTCTTCTTCTTCTTCTTTTCATTTTTTTCTTCTTTGTCCGGTTTTTACTGCATTCTCATGGGTTTCCATTCAGTGATTAGAAACTAGACATCTAGGTGAACCATCAATCAGAACATGTATAGGTGCTACATAAAAGTTCTCACGCACAAGCATATACTTTGTTTGCCCTTTCTAGTCCGCTCACTTATCTAACTCAACATTTTCATGACCATAGTCTCATTCTATTACCATGCCGTCGTTTGATCCCCAAAAGCTCATATGATCAAGCACTTGTAGACTTGTAGTCTTTTATGGTTGTTTAATAAAAAAAAATCCATCAATTTGACAAGTTGATCACTAGCATCATAAGATCCATACCTCCCATTCCATTCATCTTTCTCTAGTAATAAGGCATACTAAAGTAACAAAAATTCTAGCTTTGTGGATATTTTTACCATCAACGACTATTTTCTACAAAAAGATTCACCTAAGTGACCAAAGATCTTTCAAATCCTCCTTACAATTCATCTTACTCTATACGACCAAGCTAAAGCAACAAAGGTTTCTAACTTTATGAGTCCCCTATTACCGTCAAGGACAACTATTATCTACATAAAGAACCACTTAAGTGACAAAAGATCATCAAAATCAAGGTTTTATTTCACATATTTGCAATTTTTTAGGTGGGATTGTGTGGACAATGCAATGGATTTGTGCCCATTAGGCCATTAGTGCACTGCACGGATTAAATCATCAATAAATTCATATCCATTTGCTAGCCACGGCAACAAGCTATATCACAGTAACCGACAATTAACGTAAATGACAATAGTAGTACCTAGAAAAAGGTAATACAAAAATACTGATGGTAACAATAATGATAGCAACAAGGAAAAGAAAAGCTTCACCTGGCAAGGGAAGCACTTCATGACGAGTTGTTGCACATAATGGGCAACTGCCTTTCTGCGCTCTTCCGATGGTGGGTTGGGCTGAATGCAGACAATAAGCTCTGCGGTTCTCTCCTCGGCCTTTAACCATCTCTCCGAGTCAAGGACTCGGATTACTGGACCTGCATTGGGCAAAAGGCCGTTTGGCAATAGGCCACTTGGCTGTGCCCAGCTCTCATGTTCGCCCATGCACGGCTATCCCCTAACTAGCCCACTGCTTGCTTACACTATGACAACTCTATTATTTGCGCCCCAAAAATAAATAAATAAATAGAACTATACTTTATATCTTTAGAGTGAAAAAAAGAGAGAGTTATAAACTTTTCTTCCCAGTTGCCCAGAAAATAATTTTCACAAACTGAAGTCAAATTTGTAGCAAATAGAAACTTATAGAACACCACATATTACATATATATGCATATGAGTATTATTATTATTATTTTATTTTACAAATGGTCAGCACTGCTACTATAAGCCTTGAAAGAAAAACAAAAATAGCGTATTTATAGAAAATCGTTACAAAAGTAGAACCCTAAAACAACATTCAAGATGAGCACTTTTATTACAAAATACAAGAAATTTTAAAAAGTCAAATAAGAAAATTGAATTAGAAAGTTAACGGGATGTTAAATTAGGAAAAGAACAACAATTTTAGATACAAAAGAACAATAGAAATTAGAATCGAAACCCTAAAGAGGGACTACTTAAGGAGTTTGAGAAAAAAAATTTGATCATACAATAGTCAGATCATCGGACTCCTAACTGAGACTGCTTTAGGGTTTCGAGGAAGACAAGAAGGCCATCAATCTCGAGATTTGTGCAATGTCGACGAATGTTATGGTTAGAGTACACGCGAAGATTGAGAGGCACGAAGAGTAGATTGAACCACCATAAACTGATATTGCTATTGATACAAAGTTGAAATTTTGAAGATCGTAAATCCAAAATACGAAAGAGAAACGAGTGTAACGAACTAAAAGAGTCTGAGTGCGAATCAGATTTCAGGAGAGAGAGAGGGGAAGAGGAGAGACGAAGGGAGGGAGAGAGGGAGACGGTGGTATTTTTCCTGGTTGTGCTTATGGGGAGGGGTTCTTCTCAAATGAACATTATATATATGGTAAATGTGAAATATGGGCAATGATTGAATCTCTAAGAAGAAAAATTAAATAAAAATCTTAGAAATAATTAATTTATTACCATTTGTTAAAACAATTTCAAGTGATTGATGTTTTAAGATAGATTGACAATACCATGTTGATAAAAAAAATACAAATGCATCACTATATATATAGACGCTTACATACAGCATTATTTCTTTTAGGAGGGTTACTTAAATTTGTTACATACAGCATTATTTCTTTTAGGAGGGTTACTTAAATTTGTTTAAATTTAGTGTGTTCTATATTAATCTTTTTGTCAGGTACTTTTCTTTTTTAGGAGATTTTTTTCTTTCTATTGAATATTTCTTATAATGTCTGCTATTGGAGAAGAAAATCTTCAATTTCTTCGTATTAGATGTTAGTCTTTTTTTTTTCTTTCTTTTTCTTGTTTTTTTGGTTAATTAGGGCTTGTTTGGTTTGTAATTTTTGTTTTCAGAAAGCTGAAAACTAAAAAATTCTACTTTGGTTCTGTTTTCTGAAAACTCAGTTATAAAAATGTCTGTTTTCATAGAACTATAAAAGATTATTCTCTGATAACAGTTGATAACAGTTTTCTATTTTATGAGAACTATTTTTAAAGTTACAAACCAAGTAAACTCTTAATATTTTTGAACTTTGAGTTTTACTTTTAAAATAACAGTTGGATAGACTTCGTTTGACATGAAAAATAACTTAAAACTATAATAAATTTCGGACTTGGATCCTCCAAGTTGATTTTTTCTAAGTTATCATAAGTTGAATTAATAAGAAGTTGACAACTGTCTTATTAAATAGATCTAAGGTCTTAAAAACACCATGTCACTTATTTAAAATAACATCTCGACGTTGTCCAAAGTGTTGGGTTTGTCAATGCCATTACTGAACCACCGGAAACCATGGCTGAAATGCGTTCTCTCCTCTTCTCTTATGTCTTTCATTCTTTTCCCTGCAACACCACCCTTATGATCTTTCTCTAAACCTTTCTAATTCCTCTCATTCTCTCTCCGGATTTCAATCCCTTTAGTTTTCTAAATTTACCTACAAGCCTTGAAAAACCCTTTTTTCAATTTGTTTCTTTATGAACATTAGGATTTTTTTTAATTGTTTTAGAGAAGGTTTGAGGGTCCAGAACTTAGAGTAAAGATATATGTATTATGTATATATGTGCAATTATATATTTATATGTTTATATATAGAGATTAAAAGAACCCTAAATTTTTTTCTTTTAGAAGGAGCTAGGGGCTGCCATATTATGAAATCTGGTCTGTTTGTTGGCAGTATCAATATTTGAACATGACTGTAATAGAGTGAGGAATTGAATAATTGCAGGTTTGCGTATATAGAGGAAATAAAGTTAAGTGAGAGAGGAAAAAAGGTAACGTTTATTGACGGCGTTTTGTCATTTTGTCCAACATTATGTCGTTTTTGTTTTATTATTTTAAGTAATTGATGTGACGTTCGCAAATCCGTCGACTCACCTAAACTTACACGTGTAACTGTAGGAATGGCAAAAATCCCCAACTCGGTGGGGAACCGCCCCGCCCCCGCCCCTTTTACAACGAGTTTGGAGAACCGTTTAGTTACATGGGGGTGGGGATGGGGATTTAAAAAAAAAAAAAAAAAACTGGCCGGTTTTGGGGCGGGGACGGGGGAGTCCAATCCTCGGCCCAAACCCGCCCCGCAACAACCCCCGATTAGTATATAAAATTATTAATTTACACCTACCATATTATTATATTTACCAAATTAACTTACACTATATATACACATGTTGTAAACCCTAGACTCAATTAACTTCCCATATTCCTCCTAATGACAAGAGGCGGCACTAATAGATCTGACGAAAGGAAAAAAAAAAAATAGCAAGGAGGATGAAGCAACTAGCAGGTACTCGGAACTCCAACCGTCCTACACTCCCTCCTGCCTCCTTCACCATCTTCATCCACCGCTTCAGCCGACATCCACCTGTTTTCACAGATATTTTTCTTTTCTTGTTGGATGATATGTTGTGTACTCAATCCTGGATACTTGGAAGCCCATTGATTTGTTCAAACAATAAGATCCACCAATTGTTTTTTTGGTTCTCATTTGAAGTTATTAGAGGTGAGATTACAATTTTGTTAATATTTGATTTTTTTAATATTTGATTAAAGAATCAGAGGAGTCTGCACATCTCAACGAATTGCTTTGAGTTTTATATATATATATATATATATATATATATATATATATATATATTTGATTGATGAATGATGATGCTGATTGATGATGTTCTTTTGTGTTTGTTTAGTTGATGTTTGCTTGAAAGTTTAGATTTATGTGGCTTTGTCTTATCCAAAAAAAAAAAAGAGTTCAGATTTATGTGGTTTTATAGAAGAAAAAAAATTAGAATTTTCAAATTTTATCGGTTATGGGGTGAGGGCGGGGCAAGCGGTGGCGGGGCGGGGGCGGTTATAGGGGTTGGGGGTAAAAAAATAATCGGTTTTGGGGCGGTTTTGGGGGTTTCAAATTTAAACAGGGATGGGGATGGGGATTGAGAAACCCGCCCCAAACCGCCCCATTGCCATCCCTACGAGTAAGAGGTATGTTAAAAAAACCCTTTTATGTAAAATATACACTGTCACATATGATTGGTAATTTTTTTTCATTTCCAGCAGTTTGTTAAGATACACTACCACATTACCAATGTGTAAAAGGGTTGTGTATTTTACACAGCACCTTTACACAACCACGTAAGCATATTTTCTCTCTCCTCCCCCTTTTCCTACTGGCGGTTCTCTTTCTTCTCTTATTCCTTTACACCTCTTTGTTTCCCACTTTTCTAGAGCACCATAGAGAATAATCTGCAACTGGCGGCAAAGTAAGAACTGTTCGACCATCTTTTATTTTATTTTTTTATTTTTTTTTATAAACATAATTTGATTCATCACTTTCATTTGATCTTATCTTCTACAATCATCGCTGTAGATTCTAGAGTTTTTTTAGATTTTTTATCTTTTTACGTTATATTCTAATGAGATAAATATGTACTAGCCAAAGATTAGATATATATTTTAATCACATAGTTTCTACATACTTGAATATTATTTGATTATTTGTTATTAAGTTAGAATTTTGGTGGTCACAGGAAAGGTTTGATATTGGCGGGATGGGGAAGTGAAATATAGGGAGAAATTATTATTTTCTTTCCTAATTGAAGAGGATTGGGACGCGAGGTTTAATTACGAAAAAGTAAAGTGAATCAAGTAGGGTTGTAAAAGTTATGTAGGGCCTTGGGTATGACATATGGTTGGTTGTTATTGGGGGATATTTTTTTACACAAAAGGAATAAAACAACCGTTGGAACTAAAAATAGGTAGTACAATTTTTTTTGTAAATCTACTCTGACACATCAGATTTACACAAAAATATATACACTACGGTTGGAGTTGCTCTAATAGTACGAGCAATTTAACTTATGATAACTTAGAGAAAATCAACTTAGAGGATCCAAGTCCAATTCTTAACAATCTCGTATTGATTTTTTTTTTTTTTCTCTACCAAGGCTTATTTTTAGAGTTTTTGTCATTCTGATTTTGCCAAACTTAATACTTAATCCAGTGTCACACTAAAGTATCCCATTAACAATGAAGTAGACAAGATGGTCTAAACTCAACGAGAGCATATGTAAGTAGTGGAACAAAATAAGTATCACATAGATTTTATTTTAGTTTATATTAGGTAATTAGATTATATAATGATGCATCTATTTTAGTGGACATTATCACTATGTTTCACTATTTTATTAGCTCGTGATACATTGTTATCACTACATAAAAAATATTTAAGTTTTTTTTTTTTGGTAAAAAGGGTTACTATTCAGTTAGTCATGTCTTTTCTGTACACACTAATGCAATAACTTGTGTGTGCGCGCGCTATTTTTATGGATGAATCAATTAAGCTTTATTATGATTCATTGGACTATGGGGCAGGGGCGAAATGGTATTTGAAATTTAGAATCCTATTTGGGTTCGAAGACGGATTTATAGTTAAACCTGCTGTCCCAGTCCATCCCGATTAAGGGATCCTATAAATACAATATAATATAGGCTTAAATTTTTTTTTTTTGGTAAAAAAAGTTATTATTCAGTTAGTCATGTCTTTTCCGTACACACTAATGCAATAACTTGTGAGTGTGTGCGCTATTTTTATGGATGAATCGACCAAACTTTATTATGATTCATTGAACTAAGGGGCAGGGGCGAAATGGTATTTGAAATTTAGAATCCTATTTGGGTTCGAAGATGGATTTATAGTTAAACATGCGGTCCCGGTCCATCCCGATTAAGGGATCCTATAAATACAATATAATATAGGCTTAAGTGAAAAAAAAAAAAAAAAAAAAAAAAAAAAAAAAAAAATCCCTGTAATATAGGTTTTGTGCACAAATAGTTCCTCTTTTTTGAAAATGTGCACTTCAGCTTATAAAATTCAAAAAAGGTTTAAATATGCCCCTCTGACCGCTTTTTGACAAAAAAGTAAATATAAAACCCCATTTTACGATTGTATTCCTATTTTACCCCTACCTATTTCCTATCCCTTCTCTTTCCCCCTCTGCATAAAACCCTAACAAATGCATAACCAAAATCGCCACCGCCGCCACCGAAAATGCAAAAAATAACACTTTTAAGTTTGTCTTCTTCCTCTTCACCCACCCCCCATTTCTCTAAAATTATCACCTTTCTATCTCTAAAACCAAACCTAGCAGAGTTACAATGGACTCCACCACCAACACCACCCAAACTTATCACCAATTCTTTCTCTAAAACCAAACTAGTCACCATTAGTAGCAGAATCAATTGTTGTGATGTTTCCAATTTTTGGCATTTTTTATTTTTTTTTGGAATTTTGTCGTTGCAAGGGCATTTTCATCCTTTATCGTTTTGCGTACCGGACACTGTGGAGTGTGCC